TAATTATATTTTAGATTTTTTATATTTAAAATGAGATTTTATCTTATATTTGATTATGTTTATCTACAGTTAGTTATACGAATTCAAATATGAAGCTTTAATAAGTTGTACTTATGCATAATCTACTTACAATCAAGAGTTTTAAGTAATATGCATTAATAATCAGTATTTTACGCATAAAAAATATTTTTTAAGAGTTTTGTCAAATGCTTTATAATATAGTATATATATATATATATATATATAATAGTATTTAAAAAAAATTATATAAATATGTTAGAGAATTTAATTTTTGATTCTTCATATCACTTGTGAGGACAAGTAAGTTGGGTTTTTCTTAATGAAAAGATTTATCGGATTAATTGAATAGCAAGAACCTTTGGATTCAAGCCTTCATCTATCACCTTTTTCAACGGATGTAGTAACAAAATAATGGTATTTTTTCTTATTTCATGATACTGATTTAGACAAATAAATTACCATGTCTATTTATGAAAATCATATAACTAACTGTAACAAATTAAAATAATTATTATACTGTATTATTAAAATGTCTCAAAAACTAAGTGATGCTCAATCACACCCGGTGTTGCTTTTCGAAAAGTTAATTATTATATTATCATGTCTCAAATAAATTAGTTTTTGAGATATGATAACAATCTTATAAGTTAGTTTTTCTTAAAACAACTTCAATGAGCGTTTGGATAAGCTCTTTGTCGAATGTTGTGATGCTCAATCACACCCAAGGTCACGCGCGAGGTGGCAACGCGACTATGGGTTATGAGCAGAAGATTGCATATGGCATAGACAATTTTTACAATCTCGTCAATGCAAGCTCAGATTGATATGGACAGGTTGCATAGGCCAAATTTTTGTTAAGACGAGCTTCATAAACGAGGTAAGATAATTTGGGTATGTTGATTGGGACCCTAATGGGGATAAAAAGTGATTATAGGGCTTATTGGAGTGCGAAAACAACTAGAACAAAGAGCAAACATAAAGTTGATTTCTCCCTCTCTAAATTCTAAGTAGATATGTGATTTAGTTTACATTTATCAGTTGTAACCGTTTGGGTAATCTTTCATACTTAATTGTGTTCATTGGAAGGACGTACACGGTTGTATGAACGTGGAACCTCGTTATATGGTTGTGTTATTACGTTGTTGCTTCGTTTGCCTGTTATTATTGTCATAACACACCATTATCATTTTTTCATGTGTTTTGTTGTTGCATTTTCGGTTTGTAGCATGGTTTGTATACAATTAAGCTAGATTATTTTGAGTAACTATAGTATTTAGGTCTGCTTATTCGCATCAACTAACCCCCTGGATGACGACGAATGGCTTGCAATCATCACGGGTCAACCTCCATCATCACAAGGGCTTGGGACCTTGTGTATTAGTTTTTGGTGTAAAAGTCCCAACAATCATGCCTTTTTTCCCACCTTTTCCAATTATCTCCCTTATATTCCACATAAATTAGTAAATGACAAAGAATTCTTATCTTATTAAGTTTTTACATTAACTTATCACCTAATAACAAATTTTGTTACATTTT